TTGTGTTGTTGTTAGGTGCTGTCAGGTTGTCTCCAACTCACAGCAGCCCTATGTACAACAGAATGAAACACTGCCTAGTTGTGTGCCATCCTCACAATCCTTGCTATACTTGAGTCCATCACACAACCATTGTGTTAATCCATCTTGCTTAGGGTCTCCCCCTTTTTCGCTGACTCTGCACTTTATCAAGCATGATATCCCTTCTCAAGGGAATGGTCCCTCCTGAAAACATGACCAAAGCAGGTGAGACAAAGTTTGGCCATTCTCGCTTCTAAAGAGCATCACGGCTGTACTTTTTCCAGGACAGATTTGTTCATTCTTCTGGCAGTCTATGGTATCCAATTAGATATAATATCCATACCAATAATACAGTCAGATAAAGGAGATGCAACTATTTCATAGAACGTCTGTTTAAATCTTCCAATTCTCATCCAAACTTTCACCTTAGTCCCATCAACTGCTGCATCCCCATATTCCTGTAGTCTGACCTTAGGCCCCTTCAACATTTCATTGACAGGTTTCAGGATCACTGTACATTGGGCTCCTGTGTCCACGAGTCCCAAGGTCTCTTCACCATCCCCAGACCATTCTACCCACACATGTGCATATGGCCTCAGGTCCCCTACTGGGGGCTGGACTAGAAGGTCCTGGCCCCCCTGTCAGTCTGTCTTCATCAATTAGCTGAGTCTGCTTCAACTGGTCCCAGGTGGGAGTTCCTGAGTGGAGTGATTAGAATGAACTTGTCTAGGCCTCCTTAAGGTGGCAGGACCAGCAGGAGTTTCCACTGGTCCACCCAACCTCCTGTAGTGCTGCATTAGCACCCTTGTCTCAACTCCATCAATGTCTGCTATATTCATCCCATTCCTCAACAGCCATCGAAAAATCTCCGACCTGTTGAGATAAGTTTTTTCCCTATTGCCCCTTTCCATTCTCCTACCAATCACTCTTATGCTTTCTGCATTTTTAAGACCCACGCAGGGAAGTTGCACTAACAGACCTGACAGAGTTTGTCAGATTGTTGCTTTGTTTTGCAATAGCAGAGTTACATGGGGTGTCCATGTAGAAGGGGCTCCCTTGATTACCATATCTGCATGACCTGTGTAAGAGGCATACTCATTGGGTGAATACCCTCATCACCATAAAGCCATTCCAGCATGGCTTGCATAAGCAGCATATTAGATGCTTCCTCTGGAGTGTTCCGGGGGTATTTTAGAGAGGGAGAGAGGTAGTTTCTCTTCTCAAGATACACAAAACTGACTGCAAATTTTATCCAGTCCAACAGACTGGCTGCCCCCTCTCGGTTAACCTGCCCTGTAAATGGATCTTAGATCAACATTTGTTCCTGTTTCATAGTGAATTGTGGGTCTTGCATTAATCCAAACATACTCTTCCACTCTACAATATTCCAAACTAAAGACACTGCCCCTAAATTAGTCACTCTCACAATTGATTTTAGTGAAGGTTCCTCAGGAAGCTGACGATACTCATCTACAAACTGAAGCAGCTCTTTCACACTATATCCTCTGCTTTCTATAGTTTCTTGGCTTTGCCCGTTCCCTTCCTGGACTACCTTTCTGGTGACCAGTAGTTGTACAGGTACTGTTGTTGTTCTGACACAATTCTTCCCTTCTGGGTAGGCCCTGAAACTAGTGGTCATACCTCTAATTGGACTGGATCTGAGCTTAATTCAGTGCTACAGTCTGCCTCTACATTCTTTTTCCCTGCCATTGAAGCTATTGCTGATAACAGCAACCAAGGTATTGTAAGTCTTGCCTTTTCCTCATCATTCTGTACTTCCATATACATGCAACTAGCCAATTCCTCAGGAGTTAGATCCACCTCTCCGAGGTCCCATGAATAGTTTTTGCCTTGGGTGACTGATCTCAACAAAAGAGCTGCTTCATCCATGGGTGTCTTTTATCCCACCCAGAGGCCAAAGGTTTCTTACTTTCCCGTTTATGTCCTTTCTCCCAAAACTACATATTCCAGCAAGTCTGGGCCGTTGCAGCGAATCCCACCACTCTCACACCAATTGCTTGAACAATTTCTCTTAGAAAGATCAGCACAAGGCCAGTCCCCATGAGGCGGAGGTTAAAGCTGTCCCAAATGTTCAAACTACTGTGCCACTCCATCATTTCAGACATTAACTCCTCCTCTTAGCAATTGCCCCCCTCTTAGGATTCTATTTTTTGCTGTAACACCTCACAGATACCCAAGGGATCGTCTCACATAGTAGTGATGAAGGCTGGAAGGCTGGCAAGTCCCAGGTCTGTAAGTAGGTCTGGAGGATCCTCCCAATTCTTATGGCTTGACGAACCTCAATCAGAAGATCAGATGATGGCTGCTGTCCCAAATCCAGAGGTGAGATGACAATGAGCCAAAACGTAGAACTGGAACAAGAGGAGTGCAAACCTTCCCAGAAGATTCATAGGTATACTATCAAGGAAGCTAAGGGTGGTGATTTGAGTTATACATTCCAGCAAGGTGGGACTCAAGATTCATTCCATCTGTGCTGCTCCAATAGAAATAACGCAAGTGGATGGTTCTAACAATCAGCAGCTATTTAGTTTTTCACAGCAAATGAGAAATGACTGGCAGTCAACACCACAGAGCTGACTGCCAGTCAGTACAGAGAATGACTACTAACAGCTACCCAGCCAAGTTGACACATGACCTTAACTACCACACCACCTTAAAAAGGCATGGATAATAAGATTTATAATACATCTCAAAATGGAGAACAACTGCTAGAAGAGCCACATCAAACAATTCAACACAACATCCTTCTGGTATTTCTTGCTTTCAGCCAAGATCCATCCGACATCAGCTATGATTTCTCTTGTCCCACATCCTCTTCTGAATCCAGCTTGCATTTCTGGTAGTTCCCTGTCAATGTACTGTTGCAACCATTTTCTGAATTATCTTCAGCAAAATCTTATGATATTAATGATATTTAAAAATTCCCACATTCTGTTGGATCCCCTTTCTTTGGAATGGGTACAAATATGGGTGTCTGCCTATTAGTTGGCCAAGTAGCTGTCTTCCAAATTACCTGGCATAGATGAGTAAGTGCCTCTAACACTGCATCTATTTGTTGAAAAATCTCAATGGGTATTCCATCAATTCCTGGAGTCCTGTCTTTCACTAATTCCTTCAGTGGAGCTTCAACATCTTCCTTCAGAACCATTGTTTCTTGATCATATGCCACCTCCTGAAATAACTGAACATTGACCACTTCTTTTTGGTACAGTCATTTTGTGTATTCCTTCTATCTTCTTTTCATGCTTCCTGCACCATTCAACATTTTGCCCATGGAGTCCTTCAATAGTGCAACTCAAGGCTTGCATTTTTTATTTAGTTCTTAGCTTGAGAATGCCAAGCGTGTTCTTCCCTTTTGGTTTTCTAACTCTAGGTTTTTGCACATTTCATTAAAATTTACTTTGTCTTCTTGAGCTGCTCTTTGAAATCTTCTGTTCAGTTCCTTTATCTTGTCATTTCTTCCTTTCAGTTTAGCTACTTTCCATTCAACAGCAAGTTTCAGAGTCTCTTCTTATGTTCATTTTGGTCTTTTTTTTCCTTTCTTGTTTTTTAATGACCTTTGCTTTCCTCATGTATGAGGTTCTTGATGTCATCCCACAACTTGTCTGGTTTTTGGTCACTGGTGTTCAACGCTTCAAGTCTATTCTTCAGATGGGCTCTAAATTCAGGAGGGATATAATCAAGGCCATACTTCGGCTCACATGGACTTGTTTTAATTTTCTTCAGCTTCAATATGAATTTGTACATGAGCAACTGATGAAGAGGCATTTCAAACTGATAAAATACCAGAAGCATAAACCGCAAAATCTGACAGCTGTAAGGGGCCTTAAAAGTAATCTACTTAAATTTTCAAAAATGTAGCATGCTGATAGGTGGATTTCCAGATGCTAAGTAAAATCTTTTAGCCACAGAACCCACCTTCATTCTACTAGACATTTGCAGACAGTTGTATCATATTTGCTATCCTATGAAGACATAACTGGCATTAATCCTAGAAACAAATCTACCATTTCCTTGTCAAAGCATATGAAAACAGCTGCCTTATGATCTTCTTGATAGCGTCATTTTGATAGAAACAGAAATTTTACTGCAGAAAGTCTTAACCATTGAAAACAAATGCAGCCATTTCTTGGTAATGCAAAAGCTGCCTCATTTGTCAGAAAAGCATGTTTCTATTCTACTAAGACATTGTTCTTCTACTCCTAATATATGGAAATAGGCTTTCTCCTAGAAATTCATTGTTATTCTCTGGTTTGCCGTACCACAGTCAGCAGAGAAGAAGGGGATCAGGTGTACTAGCTTCTTTCTTCTGCCTAAGCCAAACAGGGAATCAGAGAGAACTGGAATATTTGCTCTTGAGTTTTACTTCATAAGTAGGCAATAAATATTCCCTAGAAGGCAGGGAAAGATAAGGCCAATTTAAAAGTCCTTAGTTTTTTGAATGTCCCCGCTGAGAATCATTCAAATCAATTCACTGATTATTTCTTTAAACCACTAATGATTATTAGGCCTCTCCTAACTATTTATCTCTCACATAACTTAAGTCACAGTTTTCAGTTTGTTCATAAAGTTCTGAGGTACCAAATTAAAAGTCTTACCAAACCTCAATTACAGCATATCTCTGACTTCTCAACCTTTTTAAGAAAGAAATTAAAAGGTATGTTAATTTAATTAACATACCTTTTAATTTAATTAATTAAAAGGTATGTTAATTTCCACATGGCATTCTAGTTTTAATATTTTAGGAGGTAATAACATCATACATAGTACTTTAGAGCAGCCATAAACTAGTTCAAGCAAATAGCTCTAGTAATATTCTTGGCTTTGACTTAATACTTAGGAAGGTATCTGATGGTGACTTCCCCTAACAAATGTAAGCAACTGAGAAATGAGAACTTCCCTACAGAACTGAAATTGGTAAAATTCAGAACCTAGAACTTGATAAAACTTAACAGTATTACCTTTTTGGCACTTTCAGGGCCTGACTCATCAAAGCGGAATCTCACAATTCTGAAATCTTTACAATAGATAATTAACTCAGTTGGATTAAATTTTAGTTTCTGGTTGGGGCCTAGGACTTTCTGCTTCCTCTTGTGGTCATTTACTAAAAAAAGAAAGAAAGAAAATACATAAGAATTCTTGTTACTTGCTCTTTAGTATTCATTCTTTAACAAATTTGTAATGAAAATAATTTAAAGGTAAATCCATTACTTAAGCAATATTTCTCTAGAATATTTGTCTATAGCTCTTACAACTTTGGAGAGTCTTTTTTACCTTCACTTGAAAGTATTTAAACTGTTCTTTGAACAAGATCATCAACATCTGGATACATTTAATCATTAAAACTTTATTAAAAAGAAGATAAAAATACTCAGAAAATGCGGGAAAAAAAAAAAAGACAATGTACATCTCCTTTTTAAAATAACTTCTAAACTCCTCCCTTTTATATAATGTTCCTAGGACTCAAAAAAAAAGGAAAAATAAGTCTACAGAAATAATATTCAAACCTAGGTATTTGAGAGGAATTAACTCCTCAAGTAGTATTTCCAGAATTAACTTTTATAGGTTGAGTAAAGAATACTACATACCTGTGACAATTTGCTCAATACATGTTAATGGGACATCATGCTCACCCAGGAGAAGGTTTTTATAATGGAATTTCTGAAATAAAAATTATATTCATGTTAATTTTTTTCCCAAAAACTTCATAATAATAAGCCTTACTTTAAGTGTGATAAGAAACTGTGATGACTATCTCTAAAAAAACCAAAAAGTCATTGCCTGTGTAGCTATGACAGTCTAAGGATACAGTATCTTACAACAAACCTTAGAAGTAAAACAAGGATAAAGAAAAATAGATATAGGCTGTGTTCATGCTCTCTACCTTTCTTCCTAATTTTTTAACATGAAATTGGGTTAAAATATATACCACAAAGCCATTTTCATATCCAAAACATGTAATATTATCAATCACTTCAGAGGCAAACATTTGTTTGTCTAGTTCCAGTTAAACTGTCATAAATATAATAAATAAAAAGGGGTTCCTAAAGTCACCAGACTTAAATGGGTAAAATCATAGCTTGTTTATTACAATGTAGAGATTTTAGAACAGAATATAATTCTATCTTTCCTAGAGTAGAAAGTTACGAGAAATAAAATGTTAAAACAAAAATCTTTAGAAAGAGCTTTTGGAAAACTAGAGCTCATTCCCTTCTACCACCACCTGTTAAATACTTTATGTCCATTTTCAAACCAAGGACATAGTTGACACAATTAACCTGCAAAAAGTAGAGCACTGGTTTAAGTTATTTTTCTACTGGTGGTGGTGTTGTTGTTAGGTGCCGTCAAGTCAGTACTAACTATTCCAGGTACACGCTTCACATTTATAGCAAAGCCTAGGGTCAATGAAGCTAAGAACAAAGGGGAAAAGCCCAAGTCTACATGCAAATATATCCATGACTCTACATACTGGGAATCTGTAAATGCCTTAAATTTAGTCTAAATATAGCTACTGAAGACTAAAATAAACACAGCAAATAAAATAAAAGAAGTATTACGGTACACAAATGCATGACTATATGAAATACATATTATACAAAGATTCTTCAATTCAAAGTTTGATTAATATATAAATATTTAGAGAACAATTACTATTATAAATGAAAGATCTAGAGGAAGAAGTATAAAATTCTTCAGAAATAGAAAAGTACTCATAAAGCAATTTAGAATTTTTAAGTTAATAAAATGAATGCCTGATATTTTACAAAACAAAATTATTGTTTTATGGTAAGATTATAAAATCAACTTATTAAAGAAAACTTTACTGATTCGTTTTTTTTTACTCTATACACTAGAAACTAGACTTGATTTTTTGGGAAAAAATTAATTAAGAATATTATAAAATCAATAAAACGTATAGCATTTAAAAGAGGTTTTTGCTACATAATTTTTACCTTTTATGTCTAGTAAATAAGATCTTTATTTTTATAAGCAGGTTAAAGAAGTTGGAAGCAAGGAACCAGTAACTCCCTAACTGAAAGGGTTAAAAAAAAAAAGTTCACAAAGGATAAACATAGCACAGTTGACTTAAAACCATCTACTAATTCTATTCTTCATGTCCTAACATTCTATTTAAACTTTATTTTGAATTTTAATATAACACATTCCCAACATTAGATTAAAAACCAAAAATCCACTTCTATCAAGTCAATTTCGACTTTTAGCAACACTGTAAGGGCAGAGCAGAACTGCCTCATAGTGTTTCCAAGGCTACTGTAAACTTTCATGAAGCAGAATACCATATTTTTTTCCTGTGGAGTGGCTGGTGGGTTCAAACCATTGACCTTTTGGTTTGCAACTGAGCAGGGCCCCACCATGGCTCTTAACATTACTTTAATTGGTTATTAATAACTGTTATAATTTTTCCATACTTGTGATTTATACAGTAATATGTGCTGCTTAGCATCAATACCCTTGATACAACTACACAGTACACAAATAAAACCCACCTGTAATGGCATTGGATTGTCCGTAATAAAGGAAATCTTGAAGTTACTGCATATCAGCTTTCCCCACAAATCATACTGACTTGTGTCTGTTGCGATGCATTTTCTCACAAAATTCACTTCATTTACAACAATTTCTCCTTTAAAAAAGAAAAGTACCATGTGTGAGCTTTAACTACTACGATAAAATGTCCACAGTCACTGAGTGACCAAGAACACTTCATGATGATGATGATAAGAAGGTACATTAGCTGTCAGGCATAGTAAGAGCTTTACTTTCTTGTAACAGTGACAGCAATAACACAGGTTGTTTCCCACTTGCAAGATATAGAAACTGAGGCAAAATTACCTTTTTGGATCTGAGTGGGCTAAACCAGAAAGGCTGAACCTGAGCCTGTACTTGTAACTACTGTGCTACACTGCCCTAATTATTGATACTTAATAACATGGAGGAGCCGTGGTGGTACAGTAGTTAAGTGTTTGGATGCTAACTAAAAGGTCAGAAGTTCAAATCCACCAGTCACCCTGTGGGAGAAGGACATGGCACTTAGCTTCATAAAGATTTACATCCTTGGAAACTCTATGGTGCAGTTCTACTCTGTCCCACTGGGTCATTATGAGTTAGAATCAATTCAGTAGCAATGGGTATTTAATAACATAAATGTCCATCCTGTTCTCACAGTGACACTTCAGAGTTAGAAAATGAGGCACACAAAGAAATACACACTCTTTAGGAATGGATATCACACCCTTGTAGGAAACAAAAGGCTCAAGACAACACCTCCAGGATAGCAGAAAGATGGCGGACCAGGCAGAAAGACTGCACAGACCCTCTTCAACAAACAAAAGGGAAACCAATTAACACAGACACAGAAGAAAATCTTGGACCCCTGAGCCTTGAAGGGAAGGATACAGAAGTGGACTAAACCTCAAACAGAAGAAGAATTTGCATGAAAATACCAAAAAAGGAGACATACAGAGCTGCGGTCTGGCAGCGATCCTGATGACACGGCACAAACAGCTTGGAGATTACCGAGTGGTGGTAGGACCTGAGAATTAACCTAAAAACCAGCCCTGCTAGCCAGGGACTGCACAGAGGACTGCTCTAGTGGCTGGGGAATACACGGAGAAGGTGAAGAGAAAGGCAGGCTGAGCTGTAGACTTTTGCCGATACAGAGGTACTGCCATTTTGAAGGTTTAAAAGTGGCTTGACTATTTTGGATATTTAAAGAGATAGTGCTCTCGCAGATTCCTGGGGCTTAAGAACACGTTCTGCTTTCCAGCAACCCCAAGGACACTC